GAGAGGAAGGGGGAAAGGAGAGGAAGGGGGAAAGGAGGAGGAAGGGGGAAAGGAGGAGGAAGGGGGAAAGGAGGAGGAAGGGGGAAAGGAGGAGGAAGGGGGAAAGGAGGAGGAAGGGGGAAAGGAGGAGAAGGGGGAAAGGAGGAGAAGGGGGAAAGGAGGAGAAGGGGGAAAAAAAATCGGAAATAAGCTGATTTCAGAGCGGAGCGCGCTCGGCGTCTCAGCTTTATAAACACGGACGTTCCGCGCAGCGAAGGCTAAAACAGATGTGCAGCTGAAGGCGCAGACTGCGTCCGCTTCTTGAAAGCGCTGCTCCGAGCCGCAGCTCTGCATCCGCAGCGCCTTTACAGCCTGCCAAAAAAAGCTCCCGGCACGCGTGGAACGTACTGCGCCGAGTATTGTCAGGCAGGGGAAAAATTTGCAAAAGAAAGGCCCCTTCCTCCCGTAACTGAAATGAATGAAGGGAAAAAATAATAATAATAATTAAAAATTAATTAACGTCATCGGGACAGAATGAGATCACTACGTTTATTCAGCCCAAGCAATAAGGAAAATATTTTTAAAAGGGTTTTTCCGCTTCTGGACTAATATAGACATTATCTAATAACTTCTTCCAGGAAAATGATGAGCTCATATGCGCGGGGAGGGGGGGGGAAAAAAAATTAAAAAATAAAAATAAAAATAAAAATAGAAACTGAGGAAAAGGGGGAGCGGAGCACAGACGTACCTGCGTTTGCAGCGTACTGCGGCGCTCGAGGCTAAAATTAACTTCCTTACAGCAGGATAAGCAATTAAGCGGGGAAAGAGGAGAGAAGGGTGATTAGACGGGAGGCGCTGCCCAGCTTCGAAAAATCCGCGCTGGGGTAAACCAGTTGAAAAAACCAGGGAGTTACTGGTAAGGCAGCTCAGATGTGCTTCCCCCCGGGGGTTAAATGGGGTTTACGCCGCTTTCTCTTCCCTCGACGGCCGAAAGCGCTTTAAACGCATCCGCGTTGAGGATTTGCCGCAGCGTAACGCGACAAGACTTAAACCCACTGTTTCGTTCTCGGGTTTCCACGCGGGAGAGGCTTCAGGAGGAAGAACCGAGTTCACGCGTGGGCGGAACCCGAGGGCCCGCGGTCGCGAGGGCTGCTTCCGCGAAACACGGCGCCCAGTTGGGGGAAAAAAGCCGTTTGGATTTCATATAAAGGCAGCCAACGCGGCGATCCTTCCCCCCAGCCAGCCGCGTCGGTACGGCGCGCCGTACCTTCCACGACGTCCCTCTTGTAGTCGCTGTCGTTGTCGCTGTCCGTAGGGCGGTAATAGATGTAAAATCCTTGGATGGGGGTGTTGTTGTTGCTCGACGGAATATACTACGGGAGAATTGGAAAAGGCGGCGTTAGGGAAGGAAAATTTCATCCTCGGTATCTCATCACCTGGGAAATACGTTGGGGTTTTTTTGGGTGGTTTTTATTTTTTTGGGGTTTTGTTTTTTTTTTCCAAATAAGGTTAGGCGAGCGAGGGGGAGGTTCACGGAAGAGAACTGTTGATCAATTGCCCCCTTTACTGTCTCTCAGGATGAGTAACTTCTGTCAATGAGCCAGCCAGAAGTTGCTCATAAACTTTCTTAGCATGACTCTCTAAGAAGCCTTTTTATCAATGGGTTAGTGGCCTATTTTTTTTATCCCGGAGCCCACTCCTAAACTCAAGAAGCAACCTGAAATAGAGAACAGAAGGTTGCTTAACTGGAGAGGAGTTGGAGAGTGGAAGTCAAGGAAACACACTAGCACATCTCTTTATCTACTGGCTTGCTTTTATTTCTATTCCTCTAGCCAAAAAAAAAAAAAAAACCAAAAAAACCACCAAAAAAAACCCAACCAACCCCCAAAGGGAGGGTCGCACGGGGCCAAGCGGTCGAGCTGGGGCTGAGACTTTCCTCCCACATCGCTTCAACGTCGATTAGGGTCGGACCACGACCCGCCGGAAAATCTGCGCCGTTAACGGCAACGGAAAAGTTAAGAGCGTTTTTACTTCAGAAAGATTTAAGGGCACACTGAAACCCGGCGCGAGAATATTTGCCTTGAAGTCACGCAGCCTCCCGAGGAACCAGAGGTTATTTTAAGTTTATTATCCTTAACATCTCTTAAGGCCGAGCTCGCAGAGCAAACTAACACCGGGAACTCTACGCGTTAAATCCTCCAAAGTACACCAAGGGGCTTCGATTTCAAAACAAGAGCGAAGAACCTTCTGGGGCTTTCAATAAGGACTTTAAAGTACTCGTTTACGAAAGACGAGGCCAACAGGGGAAAGGAAAACGTTCCTCCGAGACGAAACCTCTACCGGGCGCGAGGGATAGATGGTGGGTTTTAAAAAAAAAAAAGCGGCTGCCCGCTTCCGGCCGGGACAACCTGGATGGACGAAAGCCGACTCGTTGGCAACTCGTGGCACCAAGAGGGGTTTGGACAGAGTTAAGCCCACTGGTGCCTCTCCGTACGGCCGTGCCGAAGCGGGTGGAGTACGGCGGCTCCGGTTGGAGCCTTTTACTGGAGTTGCTGGTGGGGCGCACAGCTGGCGTAAGCCGAGGCGGCGCTGCGCGGCATCCCCAGGGAGCTGGAAGGGGAGAGCGAGGCGGAGGGAGGTTGGGAGATGGAGCAGAAGGCAGCGAACAACTGACGGAGGCGCCGAGGAGGAGGAAAAAGGGGTTGGAAATGGGGGGGGGGCAAAGGGCTCGAGAGGCACGCGGCCCCATCGGCCACCCAACGCTACCATCCAACCCCGAACCTCCTGCCAGGAACAGCGTCATCTCCCAGTTGGACTAGATGATCTCCAGAGGTCCCTTCCAACCCTGACCATGCTGTGATTCTGGGATCGATTCTGCTATCGATTCTCTGATTCAGTGATTCCGCGATCGATTCTCTGATTCTCTGATTCTGGGATCGATCGATTCTGGGATTC